GGAGGCAGAGCCAAGCAGATCTCTGTGAGTTCGAGGCCAGCCTGGGCTACAGAGTGAGTTCCAGGACAGGCTCCAAAGCTACACAGAGAAACCTTGTCTCAAAAAAAACAACAAACAAACAAACCCTCAAAAGTCTGAATCTTTAAATTTGCTTTTCCAGGAGGCTGGTTAAGAGCGCTGGCCTAGGTTCAATTCCAGCACCCACCAGGAGGCTCCCCACCACCTGCAACTCCAGTTTTAGTAGAGACATGCATGCAGCAAAATGCCCATGCACATACAATTTCAAAACAAAAAAAAATTGCTACTTTAAACAAATTTTATTTTTCAAATTTTCAAATAGCCTCTAACTGTTGTATAAAGTAGGGCAAGTTATAGTGTAACATTAGAAGCCAAAAAGGGAGGGAAAAGAGTCAGGTGTGGTGGTGGCTCACACCTGTAACCCTAGTACTTGGGAGACTGACACAGGAAGACCGCCACAACTTCCAGGTCAGCCTGCGCTACAGAGTAAGCCTGTCTCTAAACACCAGAATGGAATCATTTTATTCACATTTAAACAAACAGCACATTTATTTCTAAACAGAGTAATTTATAGATGCCTATGTTTACACTTGCTCAGTTAATTATGGCAGAAATACATTATTCCATTACAAATACCTATTGGCCATAACAAAGTCATCCGCCCTCCACCTGCAATCAAAAGGGTTAATTTAAGGCACGAGGCAGTCAACAACAAAAATACACAGAACTGTAGGTCTCCAAGCTCTGCTTCTAACACTTACTTGATAGTGGCGGTCATACTCTGTGCTTGCTGCTGGGTGCCATTATTGATTGTGTTGGTGTTTTTCAACTGGTTCATCTGTTGCTGTGTCGGTGTGCCCCCTCCTCCAGGGCCACCACTGGGCTTCACAGGGCCCCTCAGCTGACCATTCTGACTGGACAGACCCATTATAACAGGGTTCTCTGTTCTGGCTGTGCTCATGCTGTGTTAACTGCAAAGGTGTCTCTTCCAAACTTCAAAACTTTTCAAAGTCAGTAGAGAAACTGTAATAACAGTTTATGAGGCTCTCCAAAATGAAGAGATAAATAAGTCTTGCTCAATATATGAGTCCTTTATTGCAATTTCAGGCAAGCACCTGTGAGTCTCTGAACAGTAAGCAGCAGGAGTTAACTTGCTCTCATGCACCGGATCAACTTTTTTTTAAGCCCTCTAACAAGCTTGAATTATATCTGAATTCACTCACTTTAATCTGAAACAAAGAAAAAAAATTAAATTAGCAAACAGCAAAGTCAGGGTGAAAAGCTGTTCCCTTTTAAAGAACTCCTAACAGCCACATGCAGGCCAAATCACTAGTTGAGATAGGAAAGACAGAGTGAGAAACTGCCTTAAAAACTCAGTCTACAAGGATTCCAACCTCACACATTTAAAATTTTGAGATCAAAGCAACCTATAGAAAATTAGGCAGAAAGATACTAAGGATAAAGTTCAAATTCACTGTCAAATAACAATCTGGTCTTCAATCTCCTTTGATGAATTCTCTCCAAGTCCTACCACCTCCAAAAATCATTGCATTTAATTATATTAAGACTTGAAACTCAATTTACTTAATGTAAATTTGAACAAGGCAAGACAATTCACTAACATTTAATTTCTGACAGCAACCAAGATCTTAAATGAGAAAACTGTTTCAAACAATACAAAAAGATTTATCAGTTTCAACTACAGAAGTTGTCTTTTTTAATAAACTTTTGTCCTTATCAAAATAAAGCAGTCACAAGATCTGTATGGAGCAATCTACATGTCAAAAATCTTTTGCTTGAAAATCTAAGACTCCCTCTAACTACAAAAAACAAAAACAAAACAAAACAAAACAACCAACCAACCAACCAACCAACCAAAAACCCTCAAACTAAAAACTGTTAGTGTTGCCTTTCAACAACATTTTTCAGAAAGTATATCCTAATTTAAAATAACATTGTTAAAAAAAAAAAGAAATTTCCTGTAGTTAAGGGGGCAACCCCAGGGGGTTAAACAAAATTGTAACTTTAATAAAATTCTCCCAAATATCCAGAGTACTAAGTCTAATTAACAGTTATTTTAAGAAAGAGTTGGTCAACCTCCTCTATTTTAAACTGTTCCCCAAATGGAATTCTCAAGATTTAGTAAATAAAAAATTGCCAAGGCCCAGAACACAAGCCCAACTTCTTTGGTTTTATCTAGTAACTCCCTTACATTTTACCCTCTCCCCAAACACTAGCTTAATCGGTGCTGGTGATTTTTTTGCCATACACCACCAATGTATCCCACATCCAAAATTATAAAGTCAAAAGATATCTCAAGTTTTGTTAGCAAATACTGGCTGCTAAAACGAAACAAAAAACTTTATACATCAACTTGCTCACAAATGTGGCTTATCACATGAAGTTGTTTGTTCTGTTAACAGGTATTTTCTGTATTGACAGGTTCATATTATGATCAACAGTATCAGGTTCGTCCAACTGGAAGGCTTACCTGTTTGCAAAGTGCTAAGAGGATGAAGGGGGCAATCTCTGAATACTAAAGGACACCACCACTACTGTCAATCACGCACAGTAAGACCTCCTATTGCCTTAAATCCAAAGTGAGACTGCTCCCTTCTTAAACTGACACCTGCACGCAGCTTTACATCTCAGGGGAGAAAATATTCTTCCTACCCTTCCCAATTTAGATTTGCAAGTTATATCCCCACATTAAAAAAAAAAAATCCACGAAGGCACGTAGACTTAGTTGGGAGGAGCCCCTGGCGGAGTTAATTACAGCACTTCCCAGACCGTGGTTAGCAATTGACAGTTTCACACCCAAGACAGTATCATCTGCTCCAACAAGGGCTTTTGTTTGCAAATGCAGCGCAATTTCTCTAAGCCTCAGCAGGAAGTTAGGGTTATTCTGAAGGAAAGGGGGGCTACGGGAAAGGGAAGAGCCAGGCCAAGGATTGGAGTCCGGTAACCGTAGGGCACTAATTCCTCGCCCCCTCCCCCAACCCCACTCTCCAAATCCAGTTCTCTCCCATCAAAACGCAAAAGGGTCCGGTGCCCCGCAATCCAATCTGCGCCACAAGAGCCGGAACCAGCTCCGCGGGTCGGAAACAATAGGGACTCCCCTCAGAGAGCCCGGAAGAGAACCCCCGAAGTGGAAAAAAAAAAAGCCTCTCCTTTGCTCTAAGTCTCCCTACAGCCCCCGGTTCCCACCGACCTGCAAGGCCTACTTGCAGCCCAGGAGCTGCGGGGCCTCTCCGTCTGGACAGCACGGCCCTGCCGCCCCCCACAGGGCAGCCGGGTCCCGGCCGCCGCTCCATCCCCTCTCCCGTGGCCACACGGCTTGCCCCGGGCCCTCGGCCGCTCCTCCTCCGGACCGGGCCGCACACATTCCCACCGCTCCG